AATAACAGCCTCGAAAGATTCCATCAGGACCATCCAGAAAGCAAACGTGTAAATATATGGAGCTACCTAGACGATATTGCGGTGATGAGAAGAGAAAAAGATGTTGTGAAAAATGTCACAACCAACCTCGTAAAGCATCTTAACACCGACGGTTGGATAGTCAATGAGAAAAAATCCAAATTAGACCCAACGGACCATATAAGCTTCTTGGGGACTATATTTAATGGAACCACCTGAAGAGGAGTGGCTCATGATGAGATCAATTTCGATATTTGGAATAACAAGACACCTTCAAAGAAAACTGAATTCCAGGCATTATTAGGAAAACTGAACTGGTATAGACATTATATCGCACTAACTCATCTACCTATCTTGGCCCGCATCCAGTGGCAAATCAGGGAATGAACAAGGCAGAAAACACCGTGGACACCTCGAGATACCAAAGCCCTCAGCGAGCTTGTGACATCAGTAAAAGACACGACTCTTTACGCCATCGACTTAAGTACCACCCTCACCATTACTGTCGGATATACTAAAGAACATCTATTTGCTACAGTAAAAAATGTAGATGGAAACCTAGTTTATATGGCACATCGGCCCATCCAAGCGGCACAACACCGCTACGGGGTGGTGGGGAAGACTCTTTTGGCCGCCCAACTTGTTGAGCCGTTCTCACCTGGCAAAGGCAAGCTAAAAGCTATCGGAGCCACCTTATTACTCCGACTGTTTCACGATCGGCCGGATCCATGTTTTCAGGGGGAACCTTCCACCTGGAGTGCCCTGGTGCTCAACCATCTTTATCAGTGGCACCTCTGGAAACATGAAGACTTACCGCCACTGCCAACCATCATAGAACAACGGAAAATTACATTATATGGCACAACACAGCCAGCATGGATGGCATCGGATGGTTCCACCCACGAAGGCGGGAAGTATGGGTTTTTCTGCCATCCATGCTTTGAACATCAGATCCATCCTGGCTGTGAATCCGCGCAGAAGAATGAGCTGCTAGCTTTTCGGGAGGTCATCCATCATTGCTTGCAGTGACATGACGGAACCCTTCCTGTTCCTGTCATTGCCGTCGATTCATATTACATCTATAAGATTGCTACTGGAACAGCTTCCCCGACTGAATATCTCAAATTATGGAACGACATCTACACCCTCTTGTCTGAATTCTCCGTACTACCGCTACTAAAACATACCCGTTCACATCGGGTTGATACCGATCCTGTGCATGAAACAATTGATAAATTGCTAGAGAATATCAATCATGCAGACGTCTTTCTTACCTGAACCATCGGTAACGATATATGTGTTGATCCTTATTTGACCTGGTTGCATGACCACTGGGGCCATCCCGGTCCTCGTATATGTTACAGTAAGTGGAAAACGCGGACGGAAGGAACCCCGGATTACGGATCTCATTCAGATTGGACACAGATAGCCCAGGCATGTGAAGCATGCGCCAAAGAAAAGGCTCACCCAACCCGAAGTTCGAAGGGCGTTTTAGATCCTAACACTTTTGAACTGGGAAAGTCCTGGCAGGTGGATCTCTTGGGTCCATTGCCTGGAGCTGCAGTCCCTAATAAAGGGCTGATAATTGTCAACTTGGGAACACGCCAAATGACAGTGATACCTCTTCGCAAAACGCACGCCGTGGCAGTAATAATGGCATTAACAAGTGTTTTTGCAGTGTGGAAGGTGCCAGTCACCATTTAGTCAGATGGCAGACTGCCATTTACGCCAGGTGCCATCGAAAAATTCACAAAACTTCATAATATAGAATGGCACCACCACTTGCCCTATCATCCCCAGTCGAATGGGGTAGTAGAACGGGCTGTAGGCCTGTATAAGGAAGCGCTACGTATTAAAAATAACGGAACATACAAAAACTGGACCAAGGTGAATCATCAGGTACTCACGAACCTAAACGCAGAAAAACACCTTTGGATTGAGAGCAATACAAAAACGACAGAACCTTGGAAGAAAAAATTCAAAATAGGAGAATTCGTGTGGATTTCCTTACCGGATCCCAAAGACTGGCACCCTCGAGTTTTAAAAGGCGTAATAAAATCCACTGAAAAGTACCCGAATACATATTTGGCTCAGCTCGAGGACAGTACACGAACTATTTTAGTACACCACAACTGGTTAGCAAGGCGAGCCATTACAGACTCAGTAGAATAAACCCCTATGTTTCCAGCAAGGGGGCATGTGATGTTCCTTTTATTAAGTGCTGGAAAACACAGGAAAAGCAGGCCCGAAAATAAGTAATGTATATAGTTTTGCTACAGAATACGTTCTGTTCTGTCCTGTCTGTTTTACTATTTCAGATTCGTCAACTGATTGTCACCGGGCCTGAATACCTGAGAAGTGTCACTTGGCTGTTCGACTTGAGAGAAATTCTGCATCAAAACCAGTTCAACGCCCAGGATCGGTGGACACATCAAGAAGATGGCTGTCCAGAATTTTCAATGGGCTAGGCTGGAACATTTCATCATGGCTGACAAATTTATTGACACCATTGTTTTTAATTTTGTTAGTTTTGATTATAATTACCACGATCGCTAGTTGTATCTTCCGCATTTTTACTCGAAAAGTGTCAGCATTATCTGTTATGCTGTATACAAAGTTGCCAATGTACATAGCTGTTAAAGATGAGGATGAGACAGAGGATGGTTGTTAAATTCGAGTACAATTCTCCTGTATTGACAGCAAGGGGGCATGTGAGAACAAAATCTTAAGTTATGCTGCCAATGCAGAGAGAATTGAAGCTGACATGCGCAGACAGGCCCTGAGCAGAAATTTCCACAATGTGCCCAGCACGTGTCCCCTGGGCAACCTCAAGAGCTGTCAATCAGGTTGACCTACTTTCCAGCCCTGCGCATGCTCAGTTACTACTAAAAGCTTGATCTGACGCATGCCTAGTTGGTAACTGTGTGAGGTAATTACTCTAGAACCATCTTCCACTTAAGCGCCCTGATTGGCCAAGGGGTAGCTATAAAAGGCTAGTGAGCCCCCACCTGGTGTGGGCGTTTGGTGTGGTGGGCGTTTAGAGTTGGTGGGAGTTAGGTGTAGTGTGAGCGTTGTGAGAGACCGTGCTCTATCTGCAAGCAGAGGCTGCTTACAGCAGGGACTGTGAGGCAGAGAGAGGTTGGGATCTGATCCCCCGGTTCTCTTCATACCTCATACAACGACTTACCTCCTCGTTCCATTTTCCTTGTGTCGATTCCTTTGGTTACTGGACTGTTCTGGCTTGGACTCTGACTTCTCTTTGGATCACCCTTATTGCTATGATTCCAGCTTCGTTCTTCTACTCACCTGGCTTCTGACCTCGGCTTCGATCTCCGACCATTCGTTTGTCCTGTAGGACTGGCGTCACAACTCCGTTCCTCGTCTCAACGCGTTACAGCTTTGTTCTGTTATATGTTTATCCTTACATGAGCTGTTGACCAGCCCTGGGACTTAAGGAGCGGGCAGCCGCCCCTATCCCTTGCGGGGTAGATCGCAAGGGCTCACTCCAGAACCCCGTGGGCCAACAGACCCCCTTTTGTTGTTTGTTCACTCGTTAACTTGTTGTTGCTGTGCCAACTGTAACCAAAGAAGCAGCTCCACGTACTCCTTCTAAGCGTAAGTCAAATAAATCAATTTGTTTGAAACTATTACGCTTCTGTACCACTCAGACTCAGCTGCCGCAAATCCCGCCTGTTCGTTCCAATCCACCACCACCTGGCCGCCCACCGTGACACTGGGGCTTGGTTCATCCCCCCGGGACACCAATATGTCTGTGATATCATTAGAGCTTATAGTGCTGTTTGCAATGACCTAATTCTTGACATCACACTGCACCCAACAAGCCAACCACTAAGCACAGGAAAGCAGTCACCTACTGCTTGTTGGACTACAGGTATAGGTGGTGGGAAATAAAGGACGTATCAATAAGAATAAAGTGATACCGCTTGTCAGTGAAACAAGTTAAAGATTGTTGCCTGGACTAAAGTTGCATCTTTCCCTAACCTATTTCTTTAAATCAGCTGAGACATTTTTGTTCAAACATTTCCCAAAATTTGGCTTGAGCTGGACATCCAACCTGAAAAAGTTCAGCCCCCAAAACAGAAATTTGGTGAAGTTATACACAGCTGAAAACAGGATGTTATTAGGTAGCATTAGGTAACATACCCATGTTGCTCTCAACCTTTGTTTTTAAGTGAAAGCCAAATATTGTCATGACTTCATCATACTTACTATTAACTATGTACATTTATTATTTAAAAACTGCATCAGAAACAGCAGCAACAATGCTATATAATCTATTTGTGCATGTTTCCAGAGGTTGAGAGAACATACCTGACCTTAAAGAATAATGGTGGAAGGGTATTACATTGTCTTTGTGCTGGACTGTTTAATTAATTTTAAATACGTGTGGCCCCCTTAAGTGTGTTTCATGACTCCCCAGCCCCCACCCAGGAGCGTCAACGTACCAACCGAAAAATATTGGTTCATAATACTGTAAAATACCTGTGCCCAATGCAGACTAGACAAAAAAAATCAAGAGGAACTGCAGTTACTTGAAGAGCATAGGCACAGGAAACAAATCTAACTACTGCTTTGGAAAAGTTTTTAATGCAGAAGAAATGATGAATTGCAGAAGACACTCCCCTAGCCTGATAAAGCAGCAATTCTCTGATGAGAAGAGAAGCACATGGAGATAAAGGAACTTGTTTTTTTCCTTTGAAAAGCAACCAATAAGGAGAGGAGGATATTCCTATGAAAATGTCATCTGAAAGCAGTATATCCACAGAAGGTAAAGGAGATAGCTTGGAAGAGCAGGAGCTAGGTAAGAGTTCTATTTTGCAAAAGAATAGACTACTGAGGCAAAAATTCAATTAGACAAAAGAAATGTTGTGCTCCTTCTGCTGCGATTATAAAGCATTTTTCAGTGCTTAATAAAACTGATTAAAGCTCTCTGTCTCAGAAATATTTGCAAATATTTTTACCTGTGTTCCAATAGTCTCCTGGAAGCAGCGCCCAAGCTGAGTTTTAGCAGAAGCAGGAAACACGTGAGGAATGGGTTGCTGACTTGAGTAAGAAATATGTCCTTTCTGGGTCTTCTGGTATGGAAGACCTTGATAAGGGACCTGGGGATGTCCGGGCTGGGATACTTTTACTTTCTGTCCTGTTGATGTGCTATCAATCCTTGACACTTGATGGATCTGTACTGAGGCTTCAGGGGGATGTTTCACATGGATATTTACTATGTTAGGAGGGAACTTCACTAAAATCATTGGAGAGAAAACACAGAAGAAAAATGAGTAATAAAAGATGATGAGCAGAATTTCCAGGTATTCTTCGAGACTCTTTTAGTATAAACAATTAATCTAAAATCGGTGTATACCTTCTTAAAAATATGCACAAAACCCAAATTTAGAAATAAGTTGGAATGTATGAAACCTGGTTTGAAAAGTAAAAGTCAGCCATTTAGAAAGAAAAGAAAGACACTATAGAAAAATATTGTAAGATATCTACATAAAATAGGTGTCCAAGATGGGTGGTATGACATTAATTTTTGTGGTTATACTTTGTAAAAAGTATCCCATTTAAAGTTCCAGAATCCAAGCTCTGCTGGGTTATTCTTGGATATCTAGTCAGCTTTATTTTGTTTTCATATCCATCACTTGTCTTTGGAACACGGGAAAAGTTTTAGATTTCATCCTTTCACCTTTATATATCTGCCAATCCTGAGATTGCCCCTAGTCCATGGCCAACCTCTCAATCACCGAAAAAACCCACCCCCTCTCCTGAATTCAGGACTTGGCAGATAAGGACGAAGGAAATGCTTTCAAATACTTTGTTTTTAAATACAGTTGTAGTTTTAAGTTTGGGAATACAGGTTTGGAACTTCTGCTCACTTGTTTTAGTGTAAATAAGACCTGTTTGTGAATCTCAATTCCTTTGAAACATTCCAAACATTCAGTTCAACTCAGATTGAAAATAACTTAAATTTTGTAAACTACCATAATTCATCACCTTTTCAGCATATGTTAAATACACCTCGCTTTAACACATTCCTAATCCATCCAAACAAGTGGATATAACATTCTTTCCAAATCATCCTCTGGAGAACAAAACCACACACAAACAGCTTGGTACAGTTTGTGTGTGGAACAAAACCACGCACAAACTATAAAGCAGCGGCCAGCAACCTTTTTCAAGCCACAGCCTGCAACAACCCATCTATAGTCTGGTGTGGGCCAGGTAGCTTCAGAAGTGCATCAGTGCAGTGCATGGGTGCAGTTTCTAGATCTTAGCCCCAGTGCAAACTCCTCACTGCTCAGCCCCAGTACAGGCAGAGGCAAAAGCAAGGCCCTGTAGCTCACTGGGCAAGACCCAATGGCTCTGTGGACCAAAACAGGCCTGCAGGCTGTATGTTGCTGACCCTTGCTATAAAGGATGCTAGCTAGCTGACCCTGCCTGGCTGTCTTCCCACCTCTAGCAAACAGAACCATTATTTCTGATAATTATCTTAAATCATTTCAATTTTTCTGTGCAGAATTCTACCCTCACACTCTAATTTCTATTGCTTACTGTGCTTGTTTTTATCATAAAATTATGTTTGTTCTTCCGCGTCATTTTCTTTGAAACACAAAATGATAGCCAGACTACAAGTTTCAGTGTATCTGGTCTCTTTTGGGAATGTCTTAAAAGAAACGAGAGTTTTAGTTTCAATTTGGCCTGCCTCCTTTTTAAGTCCAAAAGTCCACAACTTAGGCTTCAGGACAGGCAGAGACCCTTCAAATGAGTTGTGGGAAATTAGCCTGTATGACTCAATGGCTTTTCCTGGTTCTTCACTCCTTACCTGGTACCAGAAAAGCATCGTTCCACAGAACGTGTGAGTTCTGTTGTAGGCAGCAGGCACAGGGAAAAGGTTCAATGTTGCCAGAAGAAAACTGTAAGGCCCCCTGAAGGAAATCTGTTTTGTTCACAACTATTTCATTTTGCATAAAGATAACAAAACTGACTCACTTCCATGAATACACTGCATGGAGAGGTCTCTCTTCATCTGTTATTGTGGATGCCTTCTGACTGATGCAGAAGGGAAGTGTACCAGTTCACAGCAGAAAGCTGCTAACTTAGATGCCCTACTGACTTCCGTAAGTTCATCTTGGGATATTCAGTCAGTTCAAGACAGTGCTGAATTAAGATGAAAGTGGTTCCTTCCTTATTGTCTGTCCAGAAGTCCTTCTCTTTCTGCAAGTCTTGGATTCCTTTTAGCTGTCCAGTTAAATTTTAACCTTTTTTCAGTCCTTTAAGAATGAACTATTTCACTCTCTTATGCAGCAAAAAGTATTCCTCTCTCCATCACCAAGGGCCCATGCTGACGAGCATGCACGTGCAGGGTGAGCATTTCCTGTGCGACAAATAGCAGCGGCACATATTTGTGCCACTCCTAATTGTCCCAGGGCACACACCTGCATACACGCTTCGGCAAATTGAACCAAGTGGGGTAGGAGAGGCTGGGGCCAGCAACTGTGCTGGACCCAGCAGCCTTACGTAAAGTTCTGGCACCAAGCCAGTCACTCAGAGCCTGGCTGGCAGCTATAGCATAGCTTTGGCTGGCCAGGCTCAATTTGTGAAGGCGCACACTGCTGCCTTGTGCACCAGGCTGCCTTTTTTTTGTGTTGGGTTTTTTTTTTTTGACACTGGGAGATCCAAATTAGCAGCACAGTGAATGGG